TTCAATACTATTGGGTGGATTCAATGTTTAGTTTTTGACAATATGCTCAGAGCTTCTGTATGTTTTACTATTATTAAATCCAGACAAATACAGAATACAAAGGCACCTTACAGCAGTCAGAATGTTTGGTTCTTCCTGTTTTACAAGGAGGGGACAATATCCTTCCCAATCCCCAATTAAATTCTATAAGATAAAGATATTTTCTTTTCTCAAAGGTTACAAATGTAGTCTTTGGATGACAAGACCCTCTCATGCCACAGCTGTATCCAGGCAAATCAAATCAAATCAAATCAATAACTTGTTCAGCATGCCCAGAAGGCCACTGAACCGAGGTTGCCTGAACTAAATTTGGGGGGGTGCAACACATGCGGCCCTTAATTTGGACCTCCCAGTATACAAGCAGACTGAAAGTTTGGCAAGCTTTGTACACTGTAATTTTCATCTGAAAAGCATCACTGTTTTGGTTAAAAAACCCATCAATGTTTGGTTCAAAAACCATCAAAGTATTTCTTATGTGTCTTCAGACTCACATCAATTGCCTTTTTAACCAAATATGAATGTGAAGGCAGAAGCTATTAAAAGATCCTAAAATTAAACTAGATTAGCACTTAACCCATTAATATAGATAAATCAAGCATTCAACCATTAGTTAACGCTGGTGATAATTCATTTCACTCCAACTGCTGCATGCCTTCTGTAAGTTGACAGCTCCCAGGGGCTACTGAGAGCTCATCTTAACAAGCAACATGGAAATGAAAAACAGCAAGTCCCATTAACATTCCTGAAGGACACTACTTGTACCATTAGTTTAGGATATTTTTCCCCAATATATATTGCTCTTCATGAAGGAATGCAGGTAGACGCCACTTTTGTAGAGTATACAATATACTGGCAATTCTCCAGCAACTGAAATATTTCATCTGCCTAGTCCTTCTGGTGCAAAACTTTAAAAAATGACACATAAAATATTTAAAATTTTGTTTTATAGGAACCTGCTTTCACTGCTGCAGCTTACCATTTATAGTCCTCTTACTGTAGTTATTATGAAACAATTCGTTTTGGGATATAAAAACATACAAGAATAATGAAAACTATTTCATGGCATTTATAGATCCATTCATTCTTCCCCTTTTCCTTATTGTAATTGATGACTCTATTTCTATGCTATATTAGTACCGCATTTTGTGCTGCACTAGTATGTTCTATCCATCTCTGTTCAGTCTGTCATTTGACTTATCTATTTGCCAGGCAGCTTTAGATTCATTTTCCACCAGAACGTGTTAGTTACAGCACTTCAGAGTCACGGGGAAGGCAGCCAGGGTTCAGGAACACAAATTACTCTGCTGTTAACATCACCCATGGTGGGTTGTTAAAGAATGAAGTTTGAGAAATGATGCTGCGGATAATTCTCTCCAGTGCTCTTCTGTATGTGTCAGGTTCTGCTCTGCATTACAACAGGGCAATCATTTAGAAGCCAAAGGGGTTGAACTGTTGTAACTGACACCTGATTTGGGGCCATTTTCTACAATGGAGAGGAACCTATTTCATGAAGTTGCTTTCCAGGGAAGTGGAGTCTGCCTTAATAGTACAAGTTTTGGATGGCACCTAATAATACCCTGAAGTAATCTCTATAAACCTACCATTTATACAATAGAACAACAGGGACATGGCAGGAAAAGAGGATGAGAGCCATGGCTGCCATGGGCATCACAGCAGCAGGGGAACAAGGTGACTGGGCAAACCTTGCTGTGAAGGGACACAGTCCCAGCCCTTAACATTAGTACCTGAAAAATATACCTTGGTACTGACCTCCCTACATACATAGAGGCAGCCAGATCTATGTAGGCATCTTGGTGGGAGGTAATGGTCAGCACAGCTGCTATGCAGTGCCTAGTGTGACCACATGTCCCATTTTCACTAGGACAGTCCTGTTTTAAACACTTATCCCCGGTGTTCCATTTTTCCAGCGAATGCTGTTGTCCCATTTTCAGCAGTTCTCTCCAGCCAGGGGACTGCTAATCCCCTGGCCTCACTTTTATAGACATTAGGCCTGGAAGGGACTTTGTAAGATTATTGGGTCCAGCCCCCTGCCCAAGGGGCAGGAAGTCAGCTATGGTCAAAGGATCCCAGCAAGATAAACATCCAAATATTTCATGAAAGTGTCCAGAGTAGATGCTTACACCACCTCTGGGGGGAATCTGTTCCAGGCCTTGGGGGCTCAGACAGTAAAGAAGCTTTTCCTTATGTCCAGTCTAAAACGGTCTTACAGGAGTTTGTGACTGTTGGACCTTGTCTTCCCTTGGGGCGCTCTGGTGAACAGGCATTCCCCCAGATCCTGATGCCACACCACTTACGTACTTATAGGCTGCCACCAAAGTCACCCCTGAGCCTGCACTTCTCCAGGCTGAAGAGTCCCATAGCTCACAATGTCTCTTCATAAGGCCTGTTCTTGCCCTCTGATTATGTGCTTGGCTCTCCTTTATACTCTTTCAAGCTTCTCCATGTCCTTCCTGAATTGTGGAGCCCCGAACTGGATGCAGTACTCCAGCTGAGGTCTCTCCAAGGCCAAGTACAGCTGGAGGATGACATCCTGGGTCTTGCTTGAGATGCATGGGTAGTTGCAAGCCAGAGTTTTGTTCACTTTGCCAGCTGCAGTATCTCACTGGTGGCTCATATTCATCTTGTAGTCAATCATGACCCCCGTGTCTCTTTTGGTCATAGTGCTAGCATGCTCCACATGTAGCAAGATCCTCATGCAGTGCTCCACACCTCTCTCCCACTTTCTAGTGCACTCAGCTGACACTGGAGCTCAGAGACAGCTGAGCATGCATTGGAGGGACAAAAAGAAAAAGGTGGGGAAGAAGGAGGGGAATGTCTCATTTTGAGCAAAACCTCTCAAAGTATATGGCAGAGCTCATCTTTTAACTGAAGCGGAGGTTATATCTGAACAACCCCCATTATTGTTAGAGACCGCATTCCTTATTGACTAATAAGTGAATCGATAGGCTCCCTTTATTATGTAGGCAAATAGCAATTTGCAGGCTTTGATCGTTTATACTGTCTGAAATCTGTATGCTAGCAGTAACGAGTGAACAGTAGAGCCGGGAACAGATCAATACACAGCCAGACATTTTCTATGAAGGGAGATGGAGAAAAGAACCAAGATGGTGATGGGCTTGGTTTCAAAATCTTTCCTTTTTACCCTCCTATATTGTGGGAGATCACGGCTGCTGGCTTTTCCAGATCTGCAGATTGCCTTTGGCTTGTCCCATGAACAACTGACTGTACCCCTTCAAGGCTGAGATTTTTCAGGTATGGCCTAACTCTGCATCCAATGCCATCAATGGTAAAGTCCCGCTGGACATCAGAACTGGGCCCACAATGAGCACATGGGAAGATTTTATCATCCATCATTCAGCCTGCAGTAAGTTGAGAACTCATGTCCCAGAACAAGATTTATTTAGTGCAAAATGAATACAGTGCCATGTTATTTCCACACACCCAAGAAATACCATGGCCCACTGCATGCTGCATAACAGCTACCCTTTGCCTGGAAATATAAATTAATTCATGGACCTATTTCCATGCATTTCCTTCTCTTTGTGGGTAAGAAAACAAATGTATTGGCTACTTACTCTTGAAGGTTTAAAAAAAGCCTTTGCTGCAGCTGATCAATTGCTGGTGGTTGCAAAGCTTCATGACTGGCATTAATTCAAGAGCCTTGGCTGCTGTTTCACAATTAACCACTTTAGGAGAATGCCATGTGTGGAAACAAACCAGATGTGATCAGATTTTTTTTTCAGTGATTTTAAACTTTGTTCAGAGATTGAAGTAGCAAGGGAAATGGTGAGACTCTTAAGAATCACTTCCCAGACAGGCCTTTCCAGGTTTTCATCTACTGCTCATGTTCATAATTTCAGCACTTTGCCAGCTCCCAACCTGTGCTATGCAGATCTACTGGCAAATAAAACCATGTCCACCTTGTTGCAAGACCAAATTTGGAAGTTTGCAGAATGAATCTTGCTGTTCTAGTCTAATGCTGCTTGGAACAGAGTATTTCACCTCTTGAGTCCTATATTTACCACAGGGACCCTTGTGAAGACCTTGATGTTTAGAAGAGGTTGCATCTCCCTAGGATTTATTTTCTAACATTTGTTTCAACTTAAACAACTGTTTACACGGCTTTTCCCTCCTATTTCATTTTTCAGTGGACTTTTGCTGGGTTTGCTTTTCCCCAAGAACTACTTGGTGCTTGTCACACCCCACTGTTTATATCTTTGCCATAGTTCCACCCTGCTAAGAACTGGCAAAATGTTAATGCAAAAAGGAGATGCCCTGGAGGGTTTTTCTCTTTGCCAAAGCTCCTCACACCTGCAGTTACAGCATGTGCTTGTGATTAGTGGGTTAAATGTTTTAAAATAGAGACCAATGAAACAGCATGCCAAAATATGGCTCATTTGAGACTGAGCACTAGGAGAGCCTGTATCACAGGATGACTGCCAGATAACAACTCTGTACCTATATAACCTAATAAGCCAAATGTTTCCATTTTTTGATATTCCCTTTGCCTGCTGAAAGCATTAGCCTTTTGCATAGTATAAAGAGTCCCTTACATTCGTTGTAATAAGCTCACTGTAAATACCTCAGATGAGTGAGAATAACTAAATCACTTCAGCCACAGACACTGAAGCACCATAATACAATGTCCCCATGTATCCCTTAGTAATTAAAAATTCCTCATCATATTATATATGGTCTGTACATATCAAAGTTGATAGCTGGAAGCGTGGAAAAGTGCACATAGCAAACAGAAGCATTTGAGAAGGTTTGCCTGCATGGAATGAATGTGTTTTTTATCATTATAACATGGGCATTTAACATCTCTCTTTCTCTGACTTGCAGGTGAAATCAGCTGAATAGCTGGTAGACAATGTGCTTGGCTGTTGCCAGGATATAATGTATGCTGTATTTCCAATGCTAGGCACAGTATCAACTCTTACCTTGGCTGTGATAGAGTCTTTGTTTTCTTGCATGTTAGAAATGGCTTCTGCGATCCTTGTGTGAATGGTACCAATTACAGTATCTACATTGGATGGTCCATCAAACCGATCAGCCACCAGCAGCATTGAATCTAGCAGAAGACGACAGAGACATCTTTTAAGCATATACTTTACAAATCAAAGGATAATGGCGCTTCAAATTTATATACTGTCATACTGGTGGAATCAGATATTTTTCTCTCAGTAGATGAGACTGTTGAAGGCTATCTTCCAGATGCTTGCTGAAAGTACACATGCCTTTGGAAAATACAATCTCCCTTTCCCTTGTAATCTGGCAGCATTCAGATAGGCCTCTTCTATCCAATAGTGCACCAGTAAAACACCCTTAGTGTCAGATGAACAAGATGAACCATAGAAACCCCTTTAAGACACGAGAAAGAAATAGCTGCAACAAACTCTTTGCAGACTGGCAATACAGAATGACAAGAGACCCCTGGCAAAGTACAGAGAGGGAAATCTGTGCATAAATTGGAAACAGCATCCTGGGATCTAACCCTTACTACCTTGCATTCAAGTTTTAATAAAGGGCTGTAGTGTACAGGGAATTGGAGATGCTAGATTTAGCAAAATGCCAACAGAGGGGTAATGGAACAGGTGTCTGATATGCCAAGGAAGGAGAATAAAAAATTGCTCCTAGTGAAAATTTCCTACATACCACTTAGGACAGGACAGATCTGACAAAGCAAAACATGGCTCATAAGGGAACTGTCAGTGCCAAATCCAGAGTAGTAGAGCAAAATGAATGCACCTAACCTGGCAAAAGGAAATGCAGGGTGGCTGAGAGGTGCCAACTGTTCTCAACTCTCACTGACTGCTGAGCTTTGCAAGGTCCAGTGTTGATATGACTCAGGAACCCTCTTCAAGAAGTAATTTACTAAGCATGTGCCTTAGGAGTGGTGCATTTTGCTGACAAAATGTAATAAGCCAAGTTTTTCAGCAATACAATTAGTTTTGGAATGGAGACTCCAAAGGATGGAAGGAAATTTTCTAAGCATTCATAGCAAAAGAGGATAAGGAAACAGTATTCATCCAGCCTGATGTGCTCAATGCCTAGGGAGATTTAACACAACCAAGATCTCAGGGCCACATCCAAACATGGTTTCAGGCACTTAAAAGTGGGATGTAGACAGAATCCAGGTGGGTATGCCTAAAATTACAACCTTGAAAATCTGCTCTCAGCTGCTGTCTAAACCCAGAGGTACTGAAACCTCGAGGGGTGACACTACTTTTTGCATGTATGTTCTCTAGGGACCAAAAGCATAACAGTTTTAACAGGACTGAGCAGCTCAGCACTTAGCTCATATGTAAGCCAAACGGGGGCAGAAAGGAGATGTTCTGTCAGCTACATCCCCTGGGCTACTCAGTCCAGTAGACATTCTCAGCGCTCACCTATTATATTCCCAACACACAATGGTAGCTCCCATTTTAAAACATAACATAGTTGGACTCCCTGATGACCTGACTGCTACAAGTTGTTATTGTTCTTTCCAGTACAGAGAGGAGGATATTCTGAGGCTCTTACACAAAAAAGCCATAATTTCCTCCACTGGGACTGAGCAATTCTCTCTTGGTTCTTACTCAACACGGCATTGGAGTTCTTGCAGAAGATGGTGTGATGCAATGTAAAGACTTACTCAGCAGGAATCTGGGCTGCCAGCATTATTCATGAACGATGAAGCCAAAAGTGAATTATGCAGGTCACCTTACCAAGTGCCAGTCAAACTTCTACATCACACTATACCATGAAGTTGCCTGTGAGTGAGGTGCTATGGCGCAGTAACAAAAGGAAGTACTAAATGATTAAGAAAGTACCAAATGATAGCACAGTAACAACAGCGCTGTAGGGGCACGTGTGCATGCGCCCTGTTTCTATCACTTCACTGACAGCTATAATGGTCTACATGATTGACAAGTATTTATTTCTCTGTACTACATTTTAGAACATTAACCACTAAAGTCACACTCAGAAAAGAACAGGTAGAACAGCATGTAATACGCTTTTTAGAAATCATTTTAGTTTCAGTGCAAAACCCAATTAAGTTAATGGAAAGACTCCCAGTGATTTAAATGGCCTTTTATTGAGGCTCTTTCAGTCTCCAAAAAGCTGACTGTTTATATTGTAGTAGCTCTTAGAAGCCAATCAGGGATCCCACACTGCACTAGGGGCTGGATCTCAAAGTGGATCTGGGTGAAGTCAGAGTAACCAAAATAAGATGTGCTCCACTGTTAGCCAAGGTTAACAAACAGCTTCTTGTGCAGGCCTTTAGCATGGAATTTAGCAGCATATAAAAGTCACAGCCTTGAAGCATTTATTACTTATTTTCATCAAATTAAAATAAAAAATGGTTTGCTGTTTAATTTGAACAAGAACAGAGTAAGTATGCAGTTTCCAAGTTACTCTTTTTTTTTGTAATAAAGCCTTATGACTGCTTCATTTTAAAATGTTAAACTTGTCACACAATGGTGTAACTGCCTCTTCATAGTCTGAAAAAAAATCCCACAATACTACAAGTCTGCTGTTTAACTGCTACTGTTCAAAAATAGTAACACACTTTCCAGAACCATTTTTCCATGTATTTTAGCTTGAGGATGTACTGAGGATATAATACATATCAGTAAATGAAAGGATATTTCAAGAATGATTGACAATATTCAATCCATCAGTTAGTCTTAGCATATCTCCCTTTATTTGCTCTAATCTTATTTGCCAAAATAAACACTGTAGCCATGTCAACATCATTAACAACTCCTCTCCAGGGATCTGGATTTTCCATTCGCCAAGGGAAAATGCAGTAAAACCTGGATTTTCTCTTTTTAAGGAGAAAAACTCAGATTTTCTCCTATAAAGGAGAAAAATACAGAAAACAGTGAGTTTCCCCTTGCAGGCTGGCAGAGTTCCAGCTTGCCAGGAGTTGGGGGGAGCAGAAGGGGGGCGATGACCAAACAGGCCGGAGGCACCGTGTGCATGTACGTATGCACATGGCAGCCAAGCAGCCTGGAGAGTAGCTCCCCACAGGCAAGTTTAGCAGATGTAGGGGCAGAGGGGAGGGGGAAAGGGAGAGAAACTGAGGTTCCCATAGTGAGGGAGGGAGGGAGTTAGGCAAGGCTGGGGCTGGACCTGGGACTGCTGCCCAGCCTGGGCAGCGTATGAGGCTTGAGGCCAGAATGCGTGGCTGCAGGGCTTGGGTGGGAGTGGGATGGAGCTGCAGGTGGCTCATCCATGGGGTGGCGGGGAAGGCTGGCTCCCCACCGCTGCATGCATTCCTGGGGAAGGCATGGGGGGCAAGTGACCCCCAGACTTGTGTGCAGGGCAGGAGTGGGCTGCCCACTGTAGGCTCAGGCCCCCCACACTTCTGCCTTCCTCCTGGGGCCTGCGCAACCTGGTGGATGGAACCTGGTGCGGCAGGGCAGAGCAGGGCAGGGAATCTTGGTGCTGCCATTGGGAGCCTTGCACCACCCTGGCAAGGCACCTCTGGCCTGCCCAGCAACATCAGGGGTGGCAAAGTGGAGTTGTGCCCACCACTGATGCCTCATCCTGATGGTGCAGGGCTCCTGGCACCAGCACTGAGCTTCTCCCCCAGCTCTGCCCTACTGTGCTGGGTCCCACCTGTGCCCCCTCCACCCCAGG